TACATACCGTGAAAGTTCTATGGTTGGTGACTCCTACAACCTCACTTCGAACCAAGCGGGTACAACGTTCTCATCAAAGGGATTTCCACATACACACTGAACAGTGGCGTCTACAACGCGATTCATGTTCGAGTCCATGTCTTGAAGGACGCTAAAACCCCGAGACAGCTTAACAGCTGCGATCGATTCGACGCTTCTGGGAATCGGTTGAGTATTCTCCATCGCATTCACTTCGCTCTCAGGCCAAGCGGGTGGAGTGCACCATGATTCATCGAACTCAACAAAACCGATATTGTCACTGGATGCGCCAAAATGTCTCCATGCTGCGACGTAGCGGCACATTCGAGAGGGCGCACAAACGCAGCATTCCCATACATCACGTGCCACTCCTTTTAGGACTCCTCGATCGAGGTTGTCAGTTGGGGGGGCCGAACTTACGAATACCGTGGAATACGTGTCGTATTCTACCACGAACTGGATTGTCGGCGGAAGAGATGATAGGTCGTTGCATTGTGGCTTGACATCGTTCACGGTTAACCCTTGTACAGCTCTACATCGTGCAGTATTGTTACATCTTTATGCTGCAAGTCATGTATGTACCTAACGTGAATGCATTCCTCATCATTGCATTGGTGCAAGAAGTCGTTTTAACTCGTGAAGGTAATGTCGCCTGAAAACAACGCTCGGGTGGTTATGTACAACCGGCGCGAACGACATGATGTACAGTAGAAAATCTCGTTAAAAGTGTCACTTTCAAATACTTTGCTCATTCGAAATTCCTACAGCATGGACATCGCGTACCTGCTCGATACGTACGATGCTATTCTCGACGGTGAATTGAATTCCCCCAAGCAAACTCCGAAGGTGACAGTGAGCTCACCAATCCATGCATTGACGGTGTTTTGTAGAATGCACAAAGGGATTCAAAGAATACCTCATTATGCAAGCAAGCTCACAACATCATGAGGAAAGCGTCGTCGTGGCGAGAGACCGAAGTGTCACGCTTCCTATCGATGCTGAATCAGTTCGTGGAACCATAACAGCCAACGAATTATTCAAGCGTACGAATCAGTACATGTACTCGACGAATCGATACTCATTTAGGTTGTCCAATGCCGGTTACTCTCAAAGCCTTCAAGAGCTGGCATTGACACACTACGCCAGTGGCCCTTGCCCTCATCGATGGGTTCAATTAATTGGAGTTCCATAACGGTCACGAAGGTACGATCAGAAAGTAGTATATACCATGGTCTCATGGATACCATGTACGCATGACCATTCAAGATGATTTATTGTCCTTTGAGCATGCAGACGGCATCCAGAATGCTGTAGTGAAGCAAATTTATGTTGACCTTCAAAGGGAATTTGTACGACATGGGGATCGAATGTTCAATGTCAACAAAGGTACGCCCCAAAAATATCCGATTAACTTTACCTTCCTTGTAGATAGTCTGCCTTTCCTATTTCCTGTAAAGCAGCTACGGCTTTTGACTCAAGATGCGCATTTGGTGACAGTTCAACGCAATTCGGCAACACAGCAAAAACTTTCGATGGGCTCATAGCCGACTACTTCATGCGTTGCGGAACTACACCTCGACTAGTGGAAACACTGCAACTGTATTTATTTTGAGTTATATGATCTATTTATACAATGTTCGTAGCTCACGATAATAGACGCACGAGAAACCACCAAGTCCAAGGTGCTTGTGTCAAAGCCACGTGAAAACTTTCATGCATTTGGTCAGGGGTTGCAGCTGCTGAAAGACGAAATTGTTGGCCAGTTTGCCACTCCTCGCTGCGCAGCATCTACGTTTACGCAGTGCAAGTCGCTGGCGATGAACTCCTTGGTTCAGGTTAGTTCGTGTTCAAATTTGTTAATTGATGTTTTTGTAGAGGTCGCGACATATAGTTACCGAGGCCAATGACTGGAAAGTTCCTCAATGGAGCAAGGCGGAAATGCGTCCAACTTGGGTCCCCGTTGAGTTGTGGAGATGCCCTTCGAAATTGTCGCGCGTCGAGGTCGAGGAACTCTGTAAATTCTGCCTGTGCAAGCATTATGGCAATGCATGGCTAGTGCAATAATAAGTAAGCACCGGTAGTTGAACCCAAATACGATATTGCATTCACGGCGTTAACGACTTTGTTGGCAACGATGTCCGATCAATAATAAAAACAAAGGATAGCATTCATTAGATGAATACGGCTTGTTGACTGCCAGATTGATTTCTGTATGAATATACCGACAGCGTCGTGCGAGATTGAGTGTGGTCCGTTGCGCCACAGGTACTTCAACAATTATTCTACTACTCTGATCCGAAACGTTTGTCAAGTTCGACTTTTCATTGGCGGAATTTTTCTAATACAAGGCCGTTTTCAACTTTGATTGGTGCATCTGAAAGCGCAGGATCTCAGCTTTGATTGGACCATTTATGCGTAAAGTAGAACGCTTTTGCTGTTGAGATAAGCACCATCAAAGTTGATGGGACCCTCTTAAAATACTAGCGGCCATCCGCTGGGACTACACACCACTATTTGCGAGCCCACACTCACATCCTACATACACACCCCACCCATTCATGTCCAACCAGACCCTCGACGCTAGTCCAGCTGCCTCCGTCGACGTTGTCCAGCCCCCAAACGGTCACAAACACTTGTCCCCTACGGAGCGCCAGGCTGTCTACGAAATGCTCCTAGGAGCTGCCATAGGAGAGGTACTCCCTCGAGGAGTCATTGTCAAAGCAGCAAAGCAGTTTGGCTGCCACGAACGCACCGTATCACGCCTCTGGGTTCGGGCGCAGCTCTCCCTG